ATGTGCCAAAACCTAGTGAGCTGTCCATGTAGACAGCATTTTGGAGCACAATAGGCACGATTTGAATAAACTTAAATGCTGTCAAGGTAGGTTGAATAGGTTTTTAAACACGGCCCGAATATCTTGTGCAGCCAATTATTAGCCTATTTATAATTGAACGCTCATCTTCCTGTTTGTTTAAAAGCAAGTATGACTCATCTCACTCTCAATTTGAACCTACTGTAATGAAATATAATGCAAAGCTAATTGTTAGGCAAAGTCAAATCAATATTAAATGCATATTTATTTATTACATTTCTGACACACACTTATGTATAAAAGGACAATAATACATACAATGCAAGACATTCAGAAAGACAGAAAAGCACACTGGATACAATGAACATCGCTGGTGCATCTCTTCACACGGAGATAACATGAGATGTATAAGAGTCTCCTGAGTTTCCAGTTAAAGAAATGTCATCACTGATCCCAGACCAGTGACAAGAGGCTGGAAACTGGTCACACATATAATTAAGCACATTGTGCTAATGAACATATCGAAACACACATCACAACACACTCTTGCCTTCTATATTCTTACTGTCACACTGAAACAGTCAACAAAATAAAAGGCTGCAATTACACAAAAATGAATGGATTTCATTTTTTTTAAGAGATGGGTAAACTGATCATACGGGGTGCAGAGTGTTTGTTTTGTAAATCTTGCCACTTTTTCCTTTAATTTTATTTTCTCCAAATTCAGTATTAAAAAGTGCACTTAACTATAAACTGTACAGCTGTTGTTTTATTTTTATGTATACTGTTATGATGTGCAAACTTTTCTAATCAGTGCATATGATTTATTTTAAATGATCGCATTAGTTCAATCCCACTATGGCAGAAGTTCAAACTCCTAACAAAGCACAGGGTAAAACAACAAATGTTTCCTTTAAACTTGACCGGTCTGAATATTGCTAAAAAATACTTTAACATTTAGACCTTTTGCGTAGCTCCCAGACTGTTGCAGATTATCCTAAAAAAAACATTCCACCACAAATTCAACATCAAATTCATTATGTCCGTAGTCTTACTAACAAGTCATCTTCAATGTAAACAGTGTGATCATCCACCATTAGGGCTGTGCTTAAACTGAATCTTGCTGAGCTCTAAAGACTGACAGGCTAGTTCTCTTTGGTTGTTTCTGTATACTACATTGATTTGTGTGGCTTGAAAACAAGGCGTTATTTAGCAGCAGAATGCACAAACAAACTGGTGCAGCCACTTAAGGACAAGAATTAGATCAATTATACTGAGACACAAATGCTCCAATTGTGTAATACCAGACATAATGAACTAGATGCTGAAAAATGGTACAACACAGTTGTAAATAAACAGTAATGAATCCATATTTTTGGATTGGCTTTGTCAACGAGTCTCTCATATTCTTTCAGGAACATTCAGGTGGTTGGTTTCCCCACAGTTGGAGACACTCGATGCATTTGGTCACTTCTCTGTTTCAAGAGTTTTGCTGGTATTCCATTCATCCTGCATAGCGGTTTCCATTCAGCAGACCAAAACGTCTGCTCAAATGAAACTTCCAGCTTAAATCTCCAACTCCTCTGGCTCATGAAGCTCATACTGTGCCTAATGGACCAAATGTAGCTTGCCTTTGGCACTGCTTGTCTTCGATGAAAAAGATCACTCTGTTTCAAGCAGCAGGCCGAGATTCTTCCTTATGATGCTGAAATGCAGTCGAGGCTCATTACTCGTGTGGCAGTCGGACACGGTGCACCACTTTTTTCTCATAAACAGCCCTCATGGTCTTCTCAATCTGTTTGAGGAACACTTGTGGTATCCTTCCACAAAGGGTGTTAACTGTGTCTAGGAACTTAGTCTGAAGAGGGTAAAATAAAGACTGGAACAAGTTCTCCTCAAAAGGATACTGAAAGAGAAGATGAAATGCATTAGGTTTCAAAGTGTTCAAGGAACTGCTTTGGTGTATTTGTTGAGGCACAAGGTCCACATTTCATATCTGACTGAATTCTGAACAGCAGAGGGGCCCACGTGACTCAACCATACAAAAGGCTTCCTCTTGAAGAGACACTTTCCTGCTATTAGTCTTCAAGGAGAGATTCAAGGAGACTGCACTCTGAATGCACAATGCAACACTATTTATTCTCATATGATTCAACACCCTCAGGACTTGCTTTGTTAACACTGAAAATTAGAAAGTGGACTTGCAAAGCGAAGACAAATGGATTACATTTCTTAAGCTTAAAATCTAATGAAAAAATTCAAGTCAAACAACTGGCTTTTATATTCTCTGAAAAAATATTGATTGTGTGCCTGGGCGTTGCTATGTGGTCGCTAGGGTGTTCTTACTTGTTTTAGTGTGCTGCTATGGGGTGTTTTTTTTATGCATAGTAAAGACATTTAAATGTTACAAAAGAATTTCAAATAAATGTTTAAATTAAATGCTGTTCTTTTTAACTTTCTATTCAAAGACTCCTGAAAAAAAATTAACAAGCACAACTGTTGTCAACATTGATAATAATAAGAAACGTTTCTTGAGCATCAATTCAACATATTACAATGATTTCTGAAGGACACTCAAGACTGAAGTAATGGCTGCTGAAAATTCAGCTTTAAATTATATTAAAGTAGAAAATAGTAATATATATATATATATATATATACACACACACATACATAAATGCAGCCTCCTTTTAACAACATTTAAAATATAAATAAATACTTGTATGCTAGTATGCATAACATAAGGTGTCTTTACAGAGCCAATTTTTTATGCAACGCTGTGTAAAAGCCAGACTAAATTAAGCATGCTTTGACCCGCCTCAGACCCTAGTATCAAAGAATACAGTTGTAATCGCTGTGAAAATGCATTTATGCCACCTCTGAGCAGCATTAAACAGTCTAGGTAAAAACACCTAAATGCCACTTCAGAAGTGCTTCTGTGCCACATTTGCAGTGTAAATTTGGCAACATATTATTATCAGTCTAACAGCCAGTCTAACAGTCTAGGGCTGGGCGATATGACCAAAATCTTATTTTATGTTTTCATTAACGATATGTACCTCGATATAGCTATTTTTATTTTATTTTTGTTATTAAAATTAAGAAAAATAAGCAAATTACAAGCACAGCAGAACAAATAAATATTAAATAAACTTTTAATTTATTCAGCTACAGTTGGCTAGGTTTATTTAACGTAGTAAGAAATATTCCAGAAATTGAATAAAGTGTATAAATAAAACACTGCATAGTCTTCACTGTATCAATCAAACATGATTAACATTAATAATGACAGACAGCAGCAGGTAAATAAGGCTGCTGTCCCTTTAAGACCAACTGCACGGATCCAATATACTGAAACACGGTTTTCACCCAACTGTTTTACATTTATTTAACATATATCCGACTGTGTTTACTTGAATACTCCACACAACGGGCATTATGACATAACTGTGTGCGTATTTGACCATTCAAGCACAGTAAAACATAAGAGATCTGTTTTTGCGATCGCATGCTTTTGAGAAAGGGGCTTTCAGTGCGTGCGCTTCGGCTGTGTGTCAGTCAGCGTGAGCACCGCATTGAGTTCTTTTTCACTGCTTATTGCACTTAATAACTCTACCAAGTGCGTCCCACTCTTTATTTTCTCATTCATGCATGTTTCCTTA